ATTTTATTTAAGGAACAGTCCATTATAAATTATTATAACTAATTATCAACATGTAAATGAAAATTGGAAGTTAGCAAACAGTAAAGAGACTGGTCAAAACTGCAAAGCCGGGCTCTATTCTGGAGGCAAAGACTAATGACTTTCGCTTTCAGCAGGCTAAGAAACAAATCTATACATATATTCATAAAATATACTTTTACCTCATCATAATCAGTAGGTTCCAGTTTTGTGATAAGGATGTAACATGCCAAGATCAGTTTGCCGGTGCTCATTTCATATCTTTCTTTCTTAATTTCAAATCCTGAAACTGAAATATAGGTTAATTTTTTTTTATCTATTTATAGATTGAAAATTTAGATGTTATCGGAGTGTCACAATCAAAGTCACCAGATCATTACAAAATACACATTATGCATTAGAAATAATTATTATATTTTATAGTATAATTATAATAAGAGATATTTTTATCTCCCTTATTTGTAATACATTCATAATTATCTCCCTTTCTTCGGCACAATCACTAATGTAGTTCCGATATTTTTACCTATTCGTGAATTTAGTTATTGAATGTATATTTTTTGTATTTAGATTGTAATAATTTAAGGAAGCGAGTGATCTCGAAAAGAATAGTTCTTTATATTATGTTCAGTTGATTTTTTTTCTAGAAAAGCAACAATAATTACAACAAGAGCTGTCACAGGAGACAGCCAAGCTCGACTAATAAAATACTGGACGCAGTAAGGAGGACAAAACTATGAAAGAAAAATCAATTATGTATTAATATGTATTAAGTTATAGTAAAAAAATAACATATGTTAACATAAATTCCAAGACCAAGGGAAATAATTCTAGAAATAGTCACGCTAGAGTTATGAACCTTGTCACACAACATGTGTGTTATGATAAGAAATATATATTTGAAGTTTGAAGTAGATACCTTAAAAAGTAAAGAAGTTATAATATTTCTTAAAGAAAATCCTAAGTTCAAAGAGAGATAAATCTGTAAAAATTGCTTCAAGAGTTATGAACATTGTCACATAAAATGTAATTGATGATAAGGAATAAGTATTAGAAGTTTGAAGTAGATACCTTTAAAACTAAAAAAGTTATAGTAAAAAATAACATTTTTCTAGTAAAAAAATCTAAGTTTATGGGGAGATAATTCTTGTAATATTGGTGCTAGAGTTATGAACCTTGTCACATAAGATATGGATGATGATAAGGTACATATATTTGAAGTATGAAGTTGATCCCTTTAGAAATAAATAAGTTACAGTAAAAAATAATATTTTTTAAAGAAAAATTCTAAGTTCAAGGGGAGATAAATCTGAAATTATTTGTGCTAGAGTTACGAACCTTGTCACATAAGATGGGGATGATGATAAGGTACATACATTTGGAATATGAGGGTGATCCTTTAAGAAATAAAGAAGTAACAGTAAAAAATATTATTTTTTAAGGAAAATTCTAAGTTCAAGGGGAGATAAATCTTAAAAACATTGGTGCTAAAGTTATGACCCTTGTCACATAAGATGGGGATGATGATAAGGTACATTTATTTGAAGTATGAGGGTGATCCCTTAAGAAATAAAGAAGTTACAGTAAAAAATAGTATTTTTTAAGGAAAATTCTATGTTCAGGGGGAGATAAATCTGAAAATATTGGTGCTAGAGTTATGAACCTTATCACATAAGATGTGGTTGATGATAAGGAACATATATTCGAAGTTTGAAGTTGATACCTTAAGAAATGACAAAGTTATAGTGAAAAATATTTTACTGCACCAAAACTTTAATCTGAAATCTGGACGCGGACGCGGACGCCGACGCCGACGCCGACGCCGGGGCGAGTAGGACAGCTCTCCATATACTTCGTATAGTCGAGCTAAAAAGTCATGGTCCATCTGAAATAACATGCTTTCAAAATACAAACATTGTACCAAATAAAAGTTGTTATTATTAATGAACTTTAATCAGTACTTTCAGATTATTTTGTGTGGTACAATATGTTGATAAACTCTCAACCTTCTAGTGCAAGCATAGTATACATGTACCCGTGCGACCAGTGCAGACCAAAACCAGTCGGCATATCCTTGACATCTGCTCATGATCTGCACTATTCGATATACATATTTTGAAATTTTCCCTTAAAATGAGTAATGGTTTTGTCCAGTTGAAGATGGGCAAGTCCATTTAAAATTTATTGCAGAGCTAAAGGTGTAATCAGCGACTCACAAACTCTTATCTGTAAAATGTATTGTTCTATGTTTAGCTTAATTTTGTATTTCTTCAAAATATCTTTACTTACCTCGACCCTCATTTCATATACTGAACGTCAGGGGAAGTAACTGAGATCACAACATCGAGTAGCAGACACACCGGAAGTCGCAAATTTCCACTTTAAGATTTATTGTCGTCTGCTACCTGTGGATACACTATTGGTAACATGGTACAACAAATGTTACATTTTTTTAGCATTTTAAAAATAATTGTAAGTTATTTGTTTAAATTACTGAAATGTTCTTAATGACCCATAACTCAGCATTATTATGCTCATTTGATAAGAATATATTGTAAACTTAAATTATTATTTTAAACATGACTGCTTTAAATCAAGTTGACTAAGTTGCATACATGTAATTATATCAATGAAAATCTAGTTTAAAGTTAAAGGTGTTTAGACTATGTTCCCCGTTACATAGAGGATATTAAATGAGTGTAAGTTCAATACTGAATTTATTGCACGAGTTGAATAAAATTATATTATGCGAGCCTCTGGCGAGCATAATATTATTTTATTCAACGAGTGCAATAAATTCAGTAATGAACTTACACGAATTTAATATTCTTTTTATCACATAACTTTAATAAAGACCGTTTAAAGTGAAAATAGTATAACGCTAACATTGAACGCCGCCTTTCCTTGTTGATCTTGTTTATCATAATGTACACTATGTTTGTATAACGCTAATGTCGTCACGTCAAAATATATGCACGGCCGTGCAATACCATATTTACGGAGTCGCAAAATCGGCACGGGTGTGTGATAAACAATCATTATGAATTCTGGGGTAGGAAGTTACACACAAAACATTTGCAAAACGAAGTGTTTTACGAGAACAGACGACCAAGTGACTAAAATAGCCCTCACTCGTTTTTCAAACAGTTGGGCTAAAATGGTTCATTATGAAACATTAGACAATAATGATATGTCAACATAATTATTACATTGACACGAAAGTTTATTTTTCAAAAAGTAGACAAGACATACGTTACAAAATTATGATTTCCTTTTTCAAACCCTAACATGCTGAAAGCGAGTCCAGTATAGAGCTGGACCAGCCTGTAATTCCGGGCAGTCTGATATGGTGCATGATTGCATCTGCGCGACAACTGTCGTCTGCTAGGATTCTTCCAGCCATTTCCTGCTATACGTATGCTAAATGATCAATAAACATTTTTTTCAATAGTATGAATTATATGGTGGTAATATTTAGAAATATACAATTTTATCTAGTTTTGTCTTTCAAAAGTACTCCAGTGATGTTTTCTTACGTCATCTGAAAACAAACGAAAAACCAAAGAACAATAATATTATACTAGTCTAAAATGTCGCATTCTGCATCTAAAATAATCAGTATATATAATTGTTAAAAATGTCGCATTCAACATCCGAATATCATTATTAGAAATGTCACGTTCTAAATCTAAAAGAATCAATGTTATCTTTAATATATTGTCGCATTCTCCACCTCTGTATTTATATAATTATCATATATATCACATTACTATTAAACATCAATATAATTATACAGAATTGGGTATTGTACAGTTAAATTTTCAATATAACTTTAAATGTATCCCCCATTTCTAATGAAATTGATATAACTATTTGAAATGATGAATAATAATAATTCGACTAGTACATGTACATGTTTAACAAAATCCAAACTCCAAACTTTTCAAATCGATCACAATGTATCAGCAAAGAATCAACTGTCTTATCGACCACAAATTCCCAAACTGTTCAGAAATAAGGCCAGAATTTTCGACAAAGAAAAACAACCATTACACACAAATGACATTAACAACTACGACAAAGACAAAGAAAAACTACCAAAACACACATAAACAACTCCCACAAAGAGACAAACTAAAATACAGAACCAAAATCGAATAACCCCAACCACACACCAACTCCAAAAAAATTGAGAAAGAAACCAAAACAACCAAAATCGATATAAACAATGCACACAAAATATCGTCAATATACATAAACATAAAACATAGTTTTCAATTTTGACAAAAAAATCTTCATTTCTAAAATAAAATTTTGTAATTCTACGCAATTTCAGTTACTGGCATAATACCATTTACATGTGTATATATCAAATTTCTTATAATGTCAAATTTTCCAAATGTAAAGTGAATTAAATAAGTATGCTGTTTTAATGTTGCATAACGTGTGCTGTCCTTGTTCCACAAGCGTGGCCCGATATAATATGATTACTTACAAGTTCATTTGTTCCTTTTGAAATTTCATCTTCTGAAACTGATAAAACTTACGAAGTAAAGTTAAAACTCATTTGTCTAAAAATAACTAGTTTCTAAAAAAAAGCTCGTTTCTATAAATAACTAAATTTACCTGATGCTCACTTTAACAACGTCATTTCATCATCACTGTAACACCCATGGACGTCCTCATCAAAACAACATTGTCATCAACATGGCCATCATTTTCACGTCAATCATCCGTGTCAATACTTTGTTATACCTCATATGCCAACTATCAATTATTCATATCTGTATTTTGTTTTATATCATAAGCCAATTATCATAATGGTCAAAAATAACTACGAAACGTCACATGAAAGATTAAAAGTTTAACATGTATATAATCCTTATGATTAATGCTAATATATAATTAAAAAGTCCTTATTCATGGAAAATTTAATTTGTGTCAAACAAATTGTACCTACGAAAAATAATTGATAATTTACAAATTTTATGTGATACAATAACATTTCCCGGATTTTCTGTGAAATATTTACATTTAAAAAAAACAGTAACGCTTTCCCGATTTTCTTGTGTAATAATATTACGTTTCGGCTATATAGTTTTTATTAATGAAATATAAAATAACTTACATTTTTGATTGATACAAAGTTCTTCGACGTCCTTAAATTAAAGAAACAATTCCAAACCTGCCATACTTTGTTTCCGTCACGTCCCTCTCACAAACTTCACGCAAATGTAGCTAACAGTAAAGTGCATGGAAAATCACTCGACCATGAATCTGGCGCTCGGGGACAATCTTGTATTGACCACTGATTGATTCTCACCAAAAAAACTTTACTAAACAAATCCGTTAAAGGCGCCAGTAAAACATTTTCCGATCTGTCTGTCCTAAGATGATAATTTGGTCTTAACGGTACATGGGAAAGTCGAAAAACGGGATTATCTGGATTTTACACACCTCCTCTATTGTTTGTGACAGGTCTATATTTTTCGGATAGACCTGTTTAAACAAAAGAAAGTCCGTTATGAGGTCTATCTTTTGCACGTGCGCAGGTCTGTTCTAGTCAGACAGACCCGGTCATGTAAAACACGGGAAAAATATACCTGCCTATGCGCAAACAAAGAAAACATGAAATGCAATGAAAATAAAATGTAAATAAATGATTGTCATAATATTCCTGTCTTACAAAATCTGGATAAATTCTTTTAAACAAGATAATGTTTATTGCATGCACTTAGCAATTATTCCAACAAATGTGCTAGCATCTTACATGTTTTAAGAAAGGTTAAATATTCAAGATCCGGTTACTAGTAGTTAAATTTTACATGTTATGTGTGGTTGAAGACCGATATTGCAGTATTTTATCACCATATTTTTACTGCGTTACTAAAGCAGTAAGGGCTTTTTTGCATAATATTATGTAGACCTCGTTTTGGTATTTTTCTTGGATTGTAAATGCCGATTGTAATAATAATATCTGTCATATTTTGCGGTTCGGATCGGAATATCCGTCCCGAGGTGACCCGCCCATTGGGCGGTAACGAGGCTTGCCGAGTTACCGCCCATGGGCGGGTGACCGAGGGACGGATATTCCGATCCGAACCGCAAACATATGTCAGATATTTTTTCTTGCATATTCTACCATATTCCATTATATTTTAAATTCTTTATCTTTATTTTCCATGAAAATTTATATGATTACAACCGTAACTACTTTCTTTCAACAGCGTATGAATTACAAAATCATTCATAACGGTAAAATGACGTCATCTTTCTCGTGCCATTGTACAGCACGCGACTCATCTGGAACCCCCCATGCCAGATGAAATTTCCGGCATGGGTAAAACTAACGGAAACGCCAGTCTGATATGCAAGAATATGTAAATTACTTTATTTGTTCACCTCACAATATTTTACTTTAAAATACATTCCAAAATTTTCATAAAAATTAGCATGAATCTAGAAGTATGCTGCTTTAACGTTCTAGAAAATTCACAGTACATAAAAATTTTACCAAAAATTCATATAAAAAATATGCCAAAAATATGTCCTTTTCACAACTTTTCACCATTTCATATACGCTTTGCATTAGAAACCGCAGCTACCCACAGTTAATACCAAAGTCCCTGCATGGTAGCATTCCCACCCGCGGGATCAATCCCCGTTAACCCCCCCCCCCCTGCACCTCTCTTTCATTTAGGCTTTATCCTATTTTTTCTATTAAACCGGAGAAAAATCAAAATTGATTTCCCCTGTAAACCTTCGAAGCCAGGGCTTAGTTTCAAAGAATGCTGCACAACAACGTTAAAGGAATTTTGTATTGACAGAATACAAGTACTTAAAGTGGATTGGTCTACAATAGGCACATCTTCCATTAGTATTTCAAATATCGATAGAAACGATAGAAATATATTATTCGGATATCATTAAAAACTTCTTGAAAAAGAAATGTTAATAAAGTTATTAGTGATTTCGTATAAAAAAAATTATGATGAACTTTTATTCTAGAACACTTTATAATCTGTTGTATAAAATATAGTTTCGGTTCATATATCTCACACTTGCCAACACAATACATATGTAAGTCTTTCGTGGTCTGCTGGGTATCCGGACATTGCCCTTCGGACAATTGCCCCCCCCCCCCTTTTCCAGTGGCGGTCATTTGCCCCTCATATCTTTGGAAGTCGCGGACGTTTGCCACAACCCCCCACCCCCACTGTTTTAAAAATAATAAAAGTATTTTATTGTTGAATTGTTTGCTACCGAAATTCATCGTCATTGTCGAAATTTCATTGTGCTTTAATACATAAAAACTCTCGTGCAAATTTGTGAAAGTCAAAATAGCATCCATAAATAAATGAACTATAATGTTTCCATTGACATACAAAAATCTATACACGAGATGACAAGTGACAAGTCACAACAGCAAAAAAAAAAAACGGGCATACGTCCGGGGGCAACTGTCCGGGGGCAAATGTCCTAGAATCTGCATTGTCTTATACGAAATACTATCAAAATAATTATCCATTCTTTATCATACTAGTACTTTCCATTACAGACCTATTCACTTTATTATTGACAAAATGCACATTTACCTTTTTTGATTATTAATGGAAAAAGGAGAGATAAATGCAAAATTTATATTGTATTTAAGCAGAACGTTGTTAAAAGCTTACCTGTATATGCGTTGTGTTAAAAATAATATTTGTGCGTTACATCAAATGCTTCGGATCAGCCATTGCTCAAGCCAATATAGTTTTACGGTGTGTAAGTTGGATATCGGCCTCGTACATCGATCTTTCTGTTTAGGAAAGATCGGGTCACGAATTTCATGAAACACCTCGAGCGCTACGCGCTCTCGGTGTCACATGAAATTCGTGACCAGGTCTTTCCTAAACAGAAAGACCTCGTACTCGGTCGATATCCTATACATATTATCCAATATCGTAAAAGTAAACACTTACATATACTATATAGCATTATTCTTACAAAGTCGTTTGTGTATTACCGTTACGGCTCTGTCGGTAGGTCCATTTTTTTAACATGTTTTTTCTAAGCGTACATTTATATACCTTTAAAATAAAGATAAAATGAACAAAAAGAACAATTGTTTGTTTAAGCGTAAAATCAATTTCAACGTATAAAGTATTCTTAAGACCAACAACAAGTATGCTTTAAACTGATGTTTGTCGGCAACAAAATCACAAAGAAAGGCCCTGTAATGAGTGTCAATTGCTACACAAGTATCGAAGTAACAATTTTGATTGATTACGTATTGCATAATCATCATCGATAGAGGACTTTTTTCTCTATAAAGGGAAGTCTATGTAGTTTCACTGACTTTAATTCACATCAATTTGTTTGTACGATTGTTTAACTAAAGTTTAAACAATTCGAAAATGGGTTACATGTATAGAAATTCCTGATGTTTTGTGTTACTTAATTGGTTTAATGGAGTTTTTAAAAGTAAAAATACTACTAAAATGATAAATTAAAATGACATACTGGTCCCACGGCTCCTGGGGTATAAACACAACCTCAATGCTACTTCCGGTTACCATTTCACCAGGTATTGGTGCCTTATAGTTGTTAGAATTGCTACTACTTTCAGAATATATCACGATCAGGAAGCAATAACAAATAATAACAAATGATATTCTAGAACAGTAAATCTAGTTATATAGAACCAGTCCACAGTTATTTGCCCCCCGCAAGTCCACAGTAATTTGCCCTCCAAGGTAAAAACTTTGTTAGAGTCCCTGTCACCATGAATACACTAAAACAAATGATTAATCACAAAATTTGCTATAATTTTTTTTTTTTGAATTAAAACATCTATATGACACTGTTAAACATTTTAATAAAACATTGTTTACGGATATGAATTTATTTTTGAATAATATAAAGTAATATCATGTTCAAACGTGCACTCTTACCGGAGTATCAAATCATCGCTATTATCAAACGCCAAAAAAAAGTGTAAATTTTTAAAGCAGTTGATTAATACTTATATTCACATATTTTCTGAAGGTTTTGTTTTCTTTGCTCCGATTTACGGAAGTGACATCGAACTATAAGTATTGTCATGAGAGGATATTAATTGTTGTTTTTGGCATATGAAAAAGGATAGAAAAACTAAACCAAGAAGGAGAACTTTATAACTTTTAAAAAATAAATTAATTCAAGATTGAATAATATGGGCTAATAATATTTATACACATGCATTTCATACCGGAGTGTC